TTAACTGGGGGGGAGGGGGCTGCCTGGCCCAGGAGGGACCCCCCACACGATACAGACAGAGGCACTCTAACCACTAGACCCCACTCCCCCCCAAACCAAGGAGAGAACCCAGGAGTCCTGGCTCCCATCTCCCCCTGCCTCCAACCAGCAGACCCCACTCCCCTCCCAGAGCCGGAGGGCCACGAATGGGGCAGGGCAGTAGCTGGGGTGCTCCTGTGAGAGCAGGAGCAGGGTCAAACCCCCCACCCCGCCCACCACTCGGGGGAGTCGGCCCCCCAGTGAGGTCCCCAGGGCAGGGGCATGCAGGGGCAGGAGTGAAGGGCAGAGAGGGGGACAGACAGACAGACAGGGTGGGGACTGTAGAGCACGGAGCGGGGGGGGGAGGCACCTCAGGGTGGCCCCCCCGCACCCCCAGGACTCACCTCTCGTTCTCAGCACTGTCCTCGGGGGGCTGCTCGCTGGGGGGGGGCCTCCCCCGGCTCCACGGGGCACTGGGACTCTGACCCTGTGGGGGGAAGGTGGGGAGAGCAGGAGATGGGGGCTGGGGAGGGGCAACAGCAACCCCCGCAATGCTGTAGCCCCTCCCCCCTTGGACCTTTCCCCAACCCCCCCCCATATGTCCAGTCCCTTCTCCCCCATGTCCTCCCCCAGCCCCTCCCCCACCTCTTACCCAGCTCCCCATCGGTCCCCTCCCCCGGAGGGGGGTTCACGGTCACAGAAACTCCGGGGGGCTCAAGCCCTGGGGTCCCGGACACAGCCCCCTTGGCCCGGCTCTCGCTGCGCTCCAACAACTTGAGACCCTTCCGCTCCGGGGCCACGGCCTTCTCCGCTGAGGGGAGACGTGGGGGCAGGTCAGTCACCGCCGGGCGGCAGCACTCAGAGACACCCCCCCAAATCAGCATGAGCCCCTGCTTTAACCACTACACCTCACTCCCCTGCCAGAGCCGAGGAGAGAACCCAGGAGTCCTGGCTCCCAGCCCCCCCTGCTCTGACCACTAGACCCCGCTCCCCTCCCAGAGCCGGGGAGAGAACCCAGGAGTCCTGGCACCCAGCCCCCTGCTCGGACCACTAGACCCCACTCCCCTCCCAGACCTGGGGAGAGAACCCAGGAGTCCTGGCTCCCAGCCCCCCCATTCTAACCACCAGCCCCCACTCCCCTCCCTGAGCCGAGGAGAGAACCCAGGAGTCCTGGCTCCCAGCCCCCCCCTGCTCTAACCACTAGGCAGCTGAACTCTACACAAAGCCGAGTGGTGCTGGACACAGACGGGGGGGGGGGAGCGGCTGCATGCTGGGGCGCTGGGGGGTGAGGTGGGGGGGTCAGTGATTGATGGTTGGGGTGACGGGGTTAGTGTATTAGGGGGGGCAGCCCAGACCCCTACCCCCCAGGTGAGAAGGACACACACTGGTTGTGGGGAGAGTTAATGGGGTTACAGGGGCAGGGGCCCGGGCTGGGGTGCCCAGGGGGGGCCATGCATGGGGCTGGGGGGGCCGGTACCTTCACCCTCGACTTTGCTTTGTCTGAAATCAGAATCTGCAAGAGAGAAGAGCGAGGGAGAGCAACAGGCTGAGGGGGGGTAGAAATGGGGGGGCCCCACAGAGCCCCACAGCTCCCCTGGGACTAGTACCCCAGCAGGGCCCCCCCCCCGGGCCCTGAGCCCCTGGGGAGCTGAGTGGGGCCCAGGGCATGGCCTGGCTCATAAAGAGTGGGGGGCGGAGGGAACAGAGTGGAAGTGGGGGGTGGACGAGGTACCCCACAACATCCCAGAAGTAGGGGATTTCGGATGCGCTCAGAGCTTCAAATCTGGGGGCACACGGGAGCCGGGGAGCTGGAGGGCCCACAGGGGGTCGGGGGGCGCACAGGCAGTTGGGGAGTTTGGGGGGCGCACAGGGGGCTGGGGGGGTTGGGGGGGGGCACGGGGGGCCGGGGGGGTCGGAACAGGACAATCTGGGCTGGGAGACCCATGGGCACAGGGCAGATCCGGGGTGTGTGAAAGTCGGAGGACACGAGGGGCGGCGGGGGGAGTGATTTGGGGGTGTCAGGGGCGGGGCCAGGGGGTGCAGAGAGGTCCGTGGGGGCAGGGACCCCGGCACCCCCACGTACTGTGCGACTCCCCGCGGTTCCAGCGCGTGGCGTCCAACAGGCTGAAACCCTTCCGCGGCTTGGGGGGCTCCTCCGGCTTCCGGCTCCCCGACATCTGCAGAGTTGGGGGGAAGGTGAGTCTATGGGTCAGAGAGCAGGACTGGGGCTTGGTCCCCAAACTGTCCCGTGCTATGCAGGGGACCACGGGGGGGACCAGGTGTGAGCCCCCTCCAGCCGGGGAGAGAACCCAGGAGTCCTGGCTCCCAGCCCCCCACCCCTCGCTCCAATCACCAGCCCCCCCTCCCCTCCCAGAACCAGAGAGAGAACCCAGGAGTCCTGGCTCCCAGCCCCCCCCCAGCATCTCACCTTCTTGCGGAAGAAATTCCCTTTCGATTTCTTGCTCTCACCCAGTTTGGTTTTAACCCCCAGGTACTTCATGTAGGTCACGATGGCGGCGAAAATCGCGGAGCTGGGGGGAGTGGGGCACATCAGTGGGGGGGGGCAGAGGGTGCTGTTCTGGGGGGAGCAGGGCTCTATCTCAGACAACTTGGCTACACCCCAGTTCAGGCAGCTCAGCCTCCCCCCCAGATTTCCCATGGGGCGTCAGGGCCCCCCCAGGCGCTGCAGTGTGGGGCCAGGGGGGCCGAGCTGCAGAATCCGACGTCGCTGCCCGGACACCAAAGGGGTGAGAGGAACCTGTGATCCACCCCCCCCACCCCACACCCCCCGTCCTGATGGGGGGGCGGGTTCATCCCCCCCATCCAGAGACCTGGGTGCACGATGGCCCCCCATTGTTTTACCTTTTTTCCTCGTCGGTGGAGATTGTGGGGCTGTAAAGAAACAGGGAAACGAACCCAGGCGTCCGGGTCAATTACCAGCTCCAGAGACCCCATCCTGACACCTGACCCCCCCTCGAGTCCTGTGCTCTGTGCAGGGCAGCCCCCCCCGCATAACCCCCCCACTCCCCCAGCATAACCAGTCCCTGCCCCCCACATAACCCGCCCCCCCGTCTCCCCCGGATAACTGTCTCCCGCCTCCACACATAACCCGGCCCCCCCGGATATCTATCCCCCGCCCTCCCCGCATAACCCGCCCCGCGCCTCCCCCACATAAGCCCCCCACTCCCCCAGCTTAACCCGCCCCCCGTCTGCCCCGCATAACCCACCCCCCTGGATAACTGCCCCTGCCCTCCCTGCATAAGCTGCCCCCCCACATATAACCCGCCCCCCACTCCCCCAGCATAACCTGCCCCCCGTCTGCCCCGGGTAAGCCGCCCCCACCCCAGCAGGGCCCAGCACTCCCTGGCTGCCCCGCCCCCCCACATGGCGGCGTGGGGCGCTGACTCTGGGGCTGGCCATGGGGCAGGGAAGCATGTTCCGGCAGCGGGAGGGGGGCGGGGGCGCGTCTGGGCCAGGCCGGGGGTGGGGGGAACAGCTGGTTCCCATCCACCCACATGGGGGGCCCGGAGCAGCCGAGCCAGATGTTTGGGGGGGGCCCTGGGCAGGCTGGCGGAGGGGGGCTGGGGGCCGGGGGGGGTCACTCACTGCATCTCGTCCAGTCGAGCCAGCAGCAGCTCGGCCAATTGCTTCTCCTTGGCCTCCCGGATCCCACGATCCCGGGTGTGATACGACTCCAGCTCGGCCAGTTCCTGCTCGCCCGGCGTCATCCCCATCAGCCGCTTCGACCTGGGGGGCGGGGGGGGCGGTGAGCCGGGCCCCCGGCCCCTGCCCGCCCCCCCAATCCAACCCGTGCTGCGCCGCCC